TTCTAGATCATTTCTTATGATTAATATTATTCATATCTGTATACCTTATAAGAATCTTATTTAAATTTGATTTGATTATTGAGCATTTTCTCATAATATTTTGTTTTGTCACATTAACTTCATAATAAGAAACTATTTTAACTTTTTCTGTATCAGTAAATAGTCTAGCAATATAATAAAAGAATTATAAGAAGGTTTTAAAGTATTTTTAGATAAATTAAATAAATTATAAACTCAAATTATTTTCAATTTAAAAAAATTAAAATTTCTATTCCAGATAGCAATTTTATTTATTATCAATAAAAAGTATAAAGAATAAGTATTATTAAATATTATTACTTATGTAAAGATAAAATATTCATTGTTTTCATATTATTTTTTTAAGGTTTAATTTTTTTCCATTACTATATAGACACGTTAATTTATTTTCCTTTAAAAACATTCATTCAATAAACTAGTGTAAAATGCTTAATTACATATCACGATACCAGACTTTATTCATAATCAATTTTATCAAAATATTCAAAATTAAAAGAAAAGTATAAAAAAACAAGCTAATTGGGAATCGAACCATATAAAAAGTAACAGGCTTTAATATTTAACCAGACTACCAATAGTTAAATGTTTAATTATTTTTAAAAATATTTAAATTAAAATATAAAATTTTTTAATAAATTTAATAATTAAAAACTAAACAACTCTTTATCCAAATCTGATTTTATTCATAAACAATTTTATCAATTTTGTTTATGTCGTAACTTTAATCATCAGCGTTATTAATAAATTTATTCATGCTTGAAATATCACTGGTAGATTCATTATCTCTATCTATCATTATTTGATGGGTATTAAATTTTTTTTATTTTTATAATACAAAGATCACAATAGAAACAGGCATGAATAAATTAGATGAAAAGCTCAAACCTATCTTGTTGTAACTTTATTACAACAGATTAAGTCAAAAAGAAAGTTTAAATAAATAAACTAATTGGGAATCGAACTTCATTAAAAGTAACCAGTTTTTATATTTAACCAGGCCACTTATAGTTTTCTTATTTAATTATTTTTAAAAATATTTAAATCAGAATACAGAAATCTTATTACCGAAACCCTCTGAAGGCAAAGAAACTAATTTATTCAACCTGTATATAGAGGTACTCTTTATCTCTATTCCATTTTCTTCTTTTATTTCATCAATCTTGTTAATATTAATTGTCTTGTTTTCTAACTTTGTATCTGTCATAAGAGATAAATTTTTATGTCAAATTTATAAACATACAAAATTATTTTCTCTCTAAAAATATTTATTCGATAAACTACTTTAATATGCTTAATTACATATTACGACACTTATAATAAATTTAATAATTATTGAATAATAAAATATAAATATCTCTTTGTTTAAACCAGACTTGAATTCATAATCAATTTTATAAAAATTATTTAAAACTAAAAAGAAAATTAAAAAACAAGTTTATTCGGAATCGAACATTATAAAAGTAAACCGGTTTTTATTTTTCACCGATCAACAATTGGTGTCTATTTTATCAGTTTTTTGAATTTTTGAATAGACCAGACTTGAATTCATAATCAATTTTACTATAATTATTTAAAACTAAAAAGAAAGTTTAAAAAAATAAATTAAATATGAATCGAACTTTATAAAAGTAAACCGGTTTTTATTTTTCACCGATCAACAATTGACGTCTATTTTATCAGTTTTTTGAATTTTTGAATAGACCAGACTTGAATTCATAATCAATTTTACTATAATTATTTAAAACTAAAAAGAAAGTTTAAAAAAATAAATTAAATATGAATCGAACTTTATAAAAGTAAACCGGTTTTGATGTTAAACCAATCTGCTGTTGGTGTCTATTTTATCAGTTTTTTGAATTTTTGAATAGAAACATACAAACTTTATAGTAAATACATAATTAATTAAATACTTTAATATTAATCTTGGTTTTTAT